ACTCATAAATATATTTAAAAACGCCACACATGCAAAGGAAAATGATGGAATTTCCGTTTTTAGAAAAATGTTACCATAGCTGAACACTGGTTCATCAAGAAGCTTCTAGAGTGTCATGCCTGGGGGCTTAGGAATGGGGTTTCTTCCAACCATTGGATCCTGTAATCCAACGAGAGCCCGATCATGTTTGGCAACATGTCTGCCTTCTCACCTTAATTTAAATTTAGTAAAACTTGGCTTATTTGGTAGTTTTTGCTATGCCCCTTTTACTGTTAAATCAGAATACTGGTATGTTTTAAGAACTCATGTTCTCAACTCACCTGAACTTAGTTCTCCAAATGCTATTGAAGAGTGATTCAATAGCTGGACTGAAACTTTACTCTTCCCCAGTCCCCTGAAACTACCATTCTAGTTTTTGGTTCTCTGAAATTGACAAGTTCAGATACCTCATATAAGTGCAGTCGTGTAGTATTTGTCTTTCTGTAGCTGGCTTATTTCATTAGTATAATGTCCCCCAGGTTCATCCGTGTATTACAGAACTTCCTTCTTTTAAGGGAGATTATTATTCCATTGTATGCACAGACCATCTTTTCTCTATCCTTTCATCCATCAGTGGACACTTAGGTTGTTTCCACAGCTTGACTATTATGAGTAGTATTGTAATGAACATAGGGGTGCTAATGTCTCTTAGAAATCCCTAAGAATGATTTCAATTCTTTGGATAAATATGCATAAGTTGGATTGCTGGAGCATATGGTTATTCATTTTTTTAAAAAAAATGTCAAGGCACCTCCATACTGCTTTCCATTGCAGCTGCACCATTTCACGTCCCACCAGCAGTATGCAAGGGTTTCAATTTCTCCACATCCTCGCCAACACTTGTTATCATGTTTTTAGCCATCCCGACAGGTGTGAGGTGATAGTTCATTGTGGTTTTGATTTGCACAATAACTTTTGTGTGCCCTTCAAAGACAGACTCTTGGAGAGAGATATCTCAAACTGTGCTTATTTGCAATCAGCTTACACCCTCAACAAAAGACAGAGATATGTCATAGTCCCCAAATGATTATCCATTGAGCAAGCATCTAATCGATGGCCTTAGAATTTTCACAGAAACTGCCAGAAAACACCTGTGCGCATACTAAGCATACAGTACTTAAAGAGATGCTCTTTGCAGTGTCATTTTCAAAGCAATGCATTGAACGTTCAAGTCCCTACGATGTGAGCAGAGAGAGTGTGTGGTCCTCTCCTCCATGCAGGGTTTGATGCAGGTGGACACCTAACTGTTTGAGGGACGCTTGCCCCCATGACGCATCTACCCCTGAATGCACTGGTGTGGCTGCAGTGACGTTAGCAAGGAGGCCAGTTTCCACAGTGTGGATATTCTTATCACATCCGGGCAAAGAGCTGACAGTGTGTTTATCATGAGACTTTTAAACACGTACTTTTCAATTCTCTGAATCATGTTAAGATTTCATTTTTCTTAAAGCAGTGTCTAAATGGATGCCCCTGAAAAAAAATGTCCTTCCCCAGGAGTTGCTTCTGTTTCTTCGGTCTTTTTATACATGTCCTGGTTGTATCTCATGCCTGCTGTGCTAGGGACGAAGAGCGGTCCCCGGGGCTAGAAGGACGTCTCAGAGTAGGAACTGTAGACGCACTGCAATGCGTACCTCAAACCAACGTCACGTGTGGGTCAGGGAGTTCTTGATGCCGGCTGAAGTTCAGATCTGTCTTGCCTGTTAAAGGGCAGTGTCTTGCCTTTACTGGGTGCAGGCATTGTTTGCGGGGCTGGAGGACACACAGTGAGTTCAGGCTGCCCTGCTTCAAGTCTCATTCTGCCTCCTCCTGGCTCTGAGACCTGGAGCAAGTCCCTTGTCCCTTGTCTACACCTCAGATGTAGTAAAAACACAGATGCTGCTGCCACCTGCCCCGCCAGCCAGGCTGTTGTGAGGACTGGTGACTGTCAAGCTCTCAGAACAGAGCTCTCACAGAGATGCTACTCTTTTACTGTTAAAGTTTCCAAGAAGCAAAACAAGGAGACAAGCCGGAAAAGCGAGAACAGAACGCCTCGGGCCCCTGTAACCAACATTTGTTGAATACCTGCTTTGGGTCCAGCATGTGGCCCCAGGGGCTGACCTGCATCTGCCCTCTCTGGGGTTGGAGTTCACTTAGGTTTATTACAAAAACGATTTAAAATGATCAAAAACATGGTTTCATCCTATCTTCCTCTGAAGCTAAAACAAAATGCAACCAACAAAAGACTATTGTTTTCATTGTCCCCAAGGTGCAACTTTTGAAAATAAGGTCTGGGGGTCGGATCTCATGTGCCTGTTTTTTACCAAGGCTGAGATGGGACAGCTTCATGAGATGGATTATGTCTTCTGGTTACAAGATGAACGCAAAGGAACCTTACGGAAAAGTGTCCCTATTTTAAATCCTTACACGTGGTTTGGAAAGCTCTGGGAAAATGCAGGTTAATAGCTTATCATAGTTCTGGATTAGACATAGAATCTATTTTAATACCGTTGGAAAACTGTGTAATCCATGCCTAGAACGCTTGTCCTCAGATAAGGAAATCAGACTGTTACGAATTAGAAGAAAATGGCAGAGTTGGTCTGAAGGGCCCATAATCCCTAACATCCCCTCTTTCTATAATTCTATACATCTCTTTGACCTCTAACTTTTTAGATGGTTAACTGTCTTGAGGGAGAAGAAAGAATTAGGGTGCCTAGTATACAGCAGGCACTCAATAAGAAATGGGCTAAAGGGATGAGCGCGTGACTGAATCTGAACGGTGTTCACCCTAGATTTTACCCGTGTCCCTTGGTTATGTTCATCACCTGACTCGCATCTAAAGTTTTTTTTTCCCTAAAGAACCAAATCCCGTTAACTCTCTTCCTTAGTAACTTCTCTCCTTGAGACAAATAGACCAAAACATACACTCCACTCCACTGATGGAATTTTCCAAAGGGATCGGAAAGTAAGCCTCAACTGAAGACATGCCGTGTTTTGATATTAGGATGGGTCTTTTAGAGATAAATGCTTGAAGCCAGGAAAAATAGCACCAAAAGGAAATAATGTATGTGTAGGCAGCATCGGAAATATAGAGGATCGACACCATGGGAACCCCCGCCGCTGTTATTTTTAAATTTCCTTCATGTTAGCACAGCTGTGAGGACGCCGTGGCACAGGGCTGACTATTTCCAGGCCCGTGGCAGAGCCCTAGTCCTGGACGGCCCCAAGTGTGACCCCGCCCACACACCTAATGACTCCTTCCTCACTGTCAGCGCTCAGCCCCCTCTGTTGGCACCAGACACGTGATGAGAACAAACCTATATTTTCAAAGTTCCCAGGTGCTGAGTGAATTCTTTCCAGGGCACTGCAGCCCTGGCCTGCTCTTCCTGTCTACACCTCTGCCGTGGCCCTTGGGTCTGGAGGAACCTTCTCCGTCCCGCCTCAGCCCTACGCCACCCAGAGAGCGCCCTCCTGCCTTGGATGGTTGTGACGTTCTCACACTTGAAGATCAAGTTCAGGCCAGGCCTATAGTCCCACGATGCTGCATGGCGGCTGCGGAGCTCCAGCTAGCAGAACGTCGGGGAGACCCACAGCCCCCAGGGCCTTCGATGTTGGGATGGAAATCTAAAATCCGGTGGAGCTTCATAGAGACCCATGAAAATTAAAAATCATATGTCAGGTAGAGCTTGAGAGGCGATTTCTAGAAATCCACCTTAGAGGATGTATACCGGGTATCAAGACCCCTGCACTACAGTAACCCTGGGGTAACCATCTAAGAAGGCATTGCCATATTTTTCTGTTTCTTGGTTAAGCTGGATTTTCTATTTGAAGTTTCCATATTAGATATGATTTCACCACGCCCTGTAACTTTTGAGTCTCAAAAAAAAAAATTCCCTTTTTTCTTTTTCCAGAAAGGATGGTTTGTCTTTATCCAAATGGCCGTGGCCGCCTCACTGACAGCAGCCCTGTGAACTGTTCCCCGGGGGCCAGCTGCTGAGTCCCTTCCACAGCCACACAGCTAGTTGGACCCCCCCACACACACATTGCAAGGTCCTGGGGGGCTTCTGGAGTCCCCCACAGGCTGCCTCCCAGTACACCAGGTCGATCCCTTCCCTGCCTGCACCTAAGCTTGGAACATTGTGGGTCTCCAAGTTCCGTAGCTAAAGACTGGCTGCAGGAATTTGAAATTCCAAACAAGGGTTTCATTCTGAGGTTTCAAAAAAGAGGGGCGTAGTTCTAGGGTAAACCTCGCTGAGCGCCCCTGGCGTCGCCTCCCAGCATCTGTGTGCATGGCCTGTTTACTGTCACACAGTGAGAACAAACGACAGTTCACCGTTCGCTGCACGTGTTTTCAATCAGTTGTCACAGATGGAGTTTTGACATGACAATTTCAGGAGGAGCTGGCTGAGCAAATAGAAGCCAGGTGGCAGCTTTGCTTCCCACATGCCTGCTCTGAGCTTTGACCAAGCCTGGGCACTGTCACAGTCAGCTCGGGCTGCCATGACAAAATACCATAGACTGGGGAGCTTCAACAACAAAAGTCCCGGATCAAGGTGCCAGTAGGGTTGGTGTCTGGGGAGAGCTGTCTCCTTGGCTCGCAGAGGGCCACCTCCTCGCTGTGTCCTCACATGGTGGAGAGGAGGGCTGTCTGGTCACTTCCCCTTCTTATAAGGACACACCATCCAATATGTTGGCCTCGCTCTCATAACTTCATCTAAACTTAATTATCTCCCAAGGGCCCCCTCTTCAGATGCCATTGCATTGGGGATTAGGACTTCAACAAATGGGTCTGGGGTGGGGGGTGGGGGACAAGCATTTAGTCCCTAACCGGCCCTGCATTTGCCTTCCCACACTTCTCCCCTCTCCTGCTGTCTCCCTTGGTCTCCTCCACCTCGCCCTTCCCTGTTTCTCTCTGTATCACAGGACCGGGAAGCATGTTTTTCAGTTGCTGCGATAATGGAAGAATTTACCTTCTCTTCCTCTAGGAACTCCCCTGACGAATGCAGCGTGGCAAAAGGCGGGAAGATGGTGGGCAGCCCAGACACGGTCGGGATGAGCTATGGCAGCTACATGGAGGAGAAGCACATGCCACCCCCAAACATGACCACAAACGAGCGAAGAGTCATCGTCCCAGCAGGTCAGATGCCCACTGGCTTCCCTCCGCTCTGTCGGCACATGCCTTTCTCAACCACCCTTGAATTTTCTCTTCCTGCTGGTGACAGTGGCCACCCTTCATGGCCTACATGTAGCAGTGATTGTAAATGGAAGCCAGCAGAAGTGTGTCTGGCTGTGGTGAAGTTCTCACTGGTGTGTGTGTGTGTGTGTGTGTGTGTGTGTGTAGCAGAGAGAGAGAGACACATCCATGAAAAATGACCTTTCTAGGGGAAATTGCCCTTTCTCTGAGATGATGCGGTATTAGATACCCTTTCTTTTATGAAGTGCTATTGATATGGTAGCCTTTTTTTTTAATCTGGCAAAATAATAAATTGGGAGCCGTCTTTTTCTTGCTCTTAGAATCTAAAATTCCAGCTATCCCTGGCCAAGAACCAGAGTAATTCTTTACCACAGAATTAATTCTAAACCCAATCCAAAGCAATAACTCTGAATTTGAGGAAAATGCCAGGAAATTCTTTATTTAGCAAAACTGAAGGTAATAGGAAGAAGGACTTAAAGCTCCTCAGAGGAAACGTGTGACAAAAAACTAAAACTGTCACAACAGAAACGGCAGCCACCACTGGGTGATCCCTTGCACTGTGCTGGGCGTTTTGGTCAGTGATTCGAAGACACCCCCTCACGCAGCCTTGGGAAATAGGTACCCTTACGATTTCCTCATGAGGAAAATGGAGCTCTGAGGGGTCACCTGACTTTCCCAGGGGCAGACAGCTGAGTTAGAATTTGAACAGGTCTGCCCGAATCCTTCATTCTCTTCTTTTAGGTGTCGCATCAAATCTCAACTCCTTCCAGTAACGGCCGTGGGCTCCTCCCATCACTCACTTTAGACATCTGGTCACCCTGACGTTTTGCCTCAGGGGCTTGAACTTGCTGTCACCTCAGCCTGGAAACCCTTGATTCCATGTACTCGCATTCTTCATCAGGCTCTGTGCAAACATCTCAGGAAGGCCTTTCCTAACCACTCCACCACCAGTCACTCAGTCCCCATCTGCCCTGTTTTTCTTCATTGAATCCACTGCCATCTGTCAGTGCAATGTACATTTATGTGAAATTTGCTCATTATCTTCCTGAGTAGACTCTAAGGTCCTACCTCCGTGGTTATGTGCAGTGCCTGGCAGGTAGTAGGTGCTCAGTGAAAGCTCACTGAGAGAAGAGTGATGAAAGCCTCACCCTGGCTGCACGCACAGGCTACTCTTTGGTGCCAAAGTAACAAAAGGCATGCATGGGTGAAGTCTGCAAAAATTCAGTCTTTACTTGCTCCAGGAGACTGTGATGGCAAGCAGGTTCAAATCCCCTCCATGGTATGATTCCTACCCTACTTCTGTGGCATAAGCTCATGGCCAGTGGAACTCTATTGCCGTCTAAACAGAGAGTGCAGAGTACTTGGCCAAACGCCTGCCTTGGGTTCATGGACTGGGTTTCTTTTTGGGACCATCACTGTATGGCTTTCAGAAGATGGCAGGAAGCTGATTTGATACAGTTAGGTATGAAAGGGCTCAGTCTCTGAGGCCCTCCCTGATCCTGAAGCACCTTGTAAGGCTTTGCTAGGATACCACAGCGATAAAGGCTCACGTGTACCTTATGAGAGGGACAAAACTGGTTTTCACGTTTATTGAAAGGCAGTTGACATGGCAGGTGGGTCACATACCCAAGATGTGTCGCTGATCACTGTGCTTTAGAACAGGAAGCAGTTCCTGTGGAATGGGGGGCATTGGAGGGATGAGGAACCCAAGGTGCCCGTGCTGGGTGTGTGGCACCAAGAAAGGCCGGAGAACAGGGGCATGGTTGGGGACACGCTCCCAGAAGGCAGGGCTTCTGGGCCTCAGACACTGGCGGATGTGACCAGGGCGAGGCAGAAACCCCAAGGATGCCCACCCAAGCCCATGTCACCCTTTGCCTTTCTCCTTAAGAATGTAATTTCTTCAATTTAGGGAAAATAAGGTTTTTGGTTCTCTAAGATGAGAGAATCAATCTGAGGAAAGGCCTGCACTGAAAGTTCTTGTGTTGGTTCCTCGGAATCACAGATCCACTAGGGAATGACTGGCATCATTTATATCATTTAACCAATGCGGTTGTATTTCTGTCCTGCCATCAGTATTCTTTCATGTCATCCATATCTTTTCCAACAGGGCCAGGCTTGAGGCTTTCTACATTGAATAAAATATGTAGAAAGAAGGAGAGATTTACATGGGGAAGAGGCATAGAGCCCATTTCATCAAGTCAGAGCATCCACCATTTCTGATAATAGGTGCTCATTAAATGCCGGTTGAGTGGGTGGGTGGAAGAATGGTTGCACAGATTGGCTCATATTAAGTGTTTGTGTAAAGGCTGGTTTCATCTCCTGAAGAAAGTCTTCTTTCAGCCGTCCCCTCCTTTGGTTGCTTCACGCCAATGCAGGCAGTTATTCGGTTAATAGTGTTTGTAAGAGAGCTAGTTGTGGCTGATTTTGCAAGTTGAGACACTTTCAGTTATTAGTCAAGCTTCATGTATGTGTGCTCATATGCAGACACACAGATGGACACATGTGTGCGCACACAAGGCTGCATTGCACAATCCAGATAATTCCCCAATGTGGCCGCAAGATTGCAGGACGGGGGCGGCTGTGTCAGCTGCTACCCCTGCACCTCCAGCTCTAGATCCAGGATCCAGGCACCTCCCTCAGGCACACTGTGGGCATAAAGTGCTCTGCCTGCACGGGTGGATTCTCCAGATCTTGTTCCAAAAGGTTCCTACTGTTCCTACTCGTTAGACACATTGATTGACACTCAGAACTGCAAATCACAAAGAGAGCTGGAAACACATTTATTTCTAAGCATGTGCACCATCAACCAACTGTATACTGATGTTCATGTTCTAGACCTAAAAATGGTCCTGATACACACTGACCAGAAAACTGGTGTGTAGACTGAGAGTCAGAAAACCAGGACCTGGGGCATGGCCTGTGCTCAGTGGGGTTCCTGGACGTGGATCCCTCACTTCTCCAAGTCTCCGGTTTTGAGACTTAGCTCTCTTTAACTCAAGAGCTATAAAGAAACTCATACAATATCCCTAATGAATAAATATACACCTCCATTTAATATACTTACACCACACCCTTATTTCAGAATGGGTAAGAAAGCTCACAAAAATACACACAAAGGAGCAATGTACAATCAATTTTTTAAAATTAATGGATAGGGAGCATGGGCTAAAATAAGAACAGAGACAGTGAAACCAGGAGTGAAGTGTGTGTGTGTGTGTGTGTGTGTGTGTATACATTTTTGAAACTGCAAACTTCTAAATCCTTCACAATTGCATGCATAAGGTGGGTGTTGTTTGGCTCCAAGGTGTCAGCAGGCAGTGCCAAAGGTGTGCCTCAGTCAACACATGAGTCAGTGTCCATAGAATAAGAAGAAAACTAATGTGGGAAAGAGGGCCCAGCTATTACTTCTGAGTCTAGAGAAAAATGTATTCCTTGGTTTGTTATAAGAAGATAATAGAGGAGTCGTGAGAAGAGCACTCAGCCAGTATGGCCAGGAGATGTTCTGGAAGTCCCGGCTTACACCTGTTGTCCTGACAAAATTGTTGATTGTGTCTCCCACTCTCAAAGTGTACTGGTTAGATAGTAAATCATATCTGTATTTTTTAATCTATCTATCTAGCATCTATCTATTCATCCATCTGTTATCTATCTATCATTTATCTATTTATCTGTCTGGTATACATGTATGTATGTCTAGGTCTACATCTCATGCAGTTGGGCTGTTTCTTACACATTTGTAGATCAAAATGTCATTGGTGACATCAGTCTTAATCAGAGAGGCCTGAGATGTGTGACCGAGTTAAATGGCTCTTTGTTGGCTTAGTTTAATTTGGAGGCTGACTAGAAAACATTTCTCCAAGTATGATCAGAACCATTGTCATCAAGATTACCTGGGAGACTTATTTTTAAAAATGCACGTTTCCAGGTTTTTCCGGATCTGGGTGTGGGCTTGAAGATTGTCCACTGTTAGCACATTTCTTAGGTGGCTTCCGTGCAGAATAAGGTGTGACAAGCTCTAATCTAGATAGAAGACACTAAGTGAATTTTATCTTAATTATTTTTAATAAAGGCGTGCTATGGCACTTTTAGAAGAGGGAATGGTGAAAACGAAGAATAGAAAATATCAGTTTCACGTTAACATTCCAAAACAATTTTTTTTAAATAAAGAATCACCCATTTGGTAGGAAGGAACTTCATCTTCCTACTGCTTCTCCCTTAAGATGTATTTTCGGGGCCGGTCATTGGGTGGACCACTGCATTTGGTAAAAGGCATGTATTAAGGCATTCATAAAAAAATCCAGGACCATCGAAGATACAGAGTACAGTATGAGAGCTGAGGAAGCCCCTCAGCTCTGTCATTGGTGTCAGCACTGAGCTCCATTTGGACAGTCTGGGTCAAGCACAGTATCAGGCCTGTATGCATTTTACTGGATTCTCATCAACAGCCAATGCAACATGAGTACAGTGCTGGCATCTGACTTCCAGGTGTTTCCAACTGTGCCTCATCAAGCCTGCAAACACAGGGCAGTGTTTAGAAACAAGGGGTCCCCGTTGCCCAGTGGAACTAATATGCACCAAAGAACATATGCGTCATGTCTCACGAAACATCTGCCATCAGGGATGCCGTCCCTCCATGGCCAGGTGTGCCCCTGGCAGCCACTGTTACTCTTAGGTACCAACAGCGTACTTGGCGATTTGCTAACCAAGAGGGCAAGCAAAGAGGAAGGCGCAGTCTTCATCCACTTTTCTTAAACGTTGCAAAATGCTGACCAAAATGCAACAGGACCTCTGGCTTTAGCAGCTTACCTTATTTTGAAAGATTTTTCTTTTTCTCTCTTTTTATTCCCTAAAATGGGTGCTAAAGCCTGGGGCTTTTCAAACATTTCTACTTTTATTTTCTAAATATCCACCTGGAACACAAGCACTTGTGGTAATCAGAAGTC